ATATATATATATACTAATATATAGCTATTACATTAAATATAACAGTTTATAATATAAACTACTAATTTTCTTTTTATATTTTACATTTTAATAGAGAGAGTTTTAGGATTATATATTTATGTATTTCTATTTAAAACATCGTATTTAGTAAATCCGGTGTTTTCAACGTTCTTCCGAGATCCTGATTTAATCATTTTCAATTCTACCACCATTCATTTCGACGTATTATAGATATGTACGTATAAATTCGATATTTTTAGAAAACACGTGTATCTCTCTATCGTTGCAAGTTACTCGTGTTGAAAACCACGGTCAACTACCTGATTTTTCAAATAAAAGCATTTATACTTGATTAATGCTTGGATTTTATCGGAGATACCGTTCTTGTCTATAATATACATGCAAACTCGACAGTTTCATTGAACAAATACTTGAGTATTTCGTTCTAAAGTGTTTATACGGTTGAAACGACCAGTTAATCTCTAGTGGAAAATTCATTCGTCGGAATCACAGATAACTATACAGCCCCCGTCAATACTACATCATTTAACCTTTGTCGCTAAACATTTTATAAGATCAAGAGACATACATGGAATGCGCGATCGAGAGACTCGATTTCTCGAATATAATATTCACAACTGGTCCAATCGGACGTTATTCAAGAGACATTATTCAAGAGTTATTTTAGAGAGAGAGAGAGAGCTTAAATAATATCAAACGTCCTTTAGCTTTCCTCAATCCTTTCCTCTCCCGTCGTGCTTAGTATAGTATAACAAAATATAAATCTGAAGGCGACACATACGTATACGCGCGATCGCGCGAGCACGTATTGGTGTACAGAGTCGTTTGTTGGATCAAATTGGCATGCATCCTGAACAACGAAAAAACAAGTCGAAATACATATCTATGATTGAAAATAGAGAACGAACATACCTTTTATTTCCACAGAATTTTGTCAGATAAATGTTTACGATCATTTTGATTATTTTACAAAAAAATCTAACGATAACGGCACGTATTGGTGTACAGAGTCGTTTGTTGGATCAAATTGGCATGCATCCTGAACAACGAAAAAACAGGTCGCCCGAAATACATATCTATGATTGAAAATAGAGAACGAACATACCTTTTATTTCCACAGAATTTTGTCAGATAAATGTTTACGATCATTTTGATTATTTTCCAAAAAAATCTAACGATAACGGATCGTCCTTAATTAAAATTTCTGTGCAATATTGGGTGTAAATAAGATCGAAAAAAAAATGTTAATGATCGCTCGATAAGCGATAAAATTCAAACAATGAAATTTCTTTCGTACAATTATTTTGATACGTGTATGCTAACGTAATCTAACCAACGCCCTATACACTTGTATACAGGTAGATATTTTTATCTAGTACAACATTTTCTTGTTTCCATAAGGACATCCGGTATAATAAAGTCGGTACCGATGAGAATTAAGTTCGGGATCTCTTTTAAATCTCATAATTGCGAAACTTACTGACGACCTCGTTCGGTTCCTGATAGTCGAATGGAACTCCATGACCCGAACGATAATAGAGATTAGTGGCTCCACCCTCTGAAGCCCTTCTATGAACATTTGTGGGATGACCTTTGAGGTGAGCCGGTGAACCACCTGTCTCTCCAGTCGTATCCGGCAGCATTCTGTCCTTTGTCTTCGGTGTGCTCCAGTGCATAGTCTGTGAACAGAAGAAGATTCGCAATATTAATTAAAGATTATTTTTTATTATCATAAATAATAAAAAACAAAATTGATCAAAAACTCAAAGAATCAATGCGCTATATAAAAAGCATCCTATATATTGATTTTAGAATCTTTGATATTATTTAATTTTTTTTCTGAAGTCTCTTAAATAAAGCATAAATAATCTTCATTAATAAATAGCCAAATTTAATTTACAAATATTTTATGCTTTCAGTGAAAATAGATCTTGAAATAGTTGTTTAAAATTATAAATTTATAAATGGCATTCAAAAAATTTGATTTATTCTAATGTAAGAATAAACTACATATTTTTTATTGTAATGAACTAAAGCGTATTGTCCAAAATGGACATTAATTGCATCAATTGCAAAATTATTACACCTCACCTGCTGTACATGTTCCTTCATGCCGACCCATTGCTTGTAACTAATCTTGATACCACTATTCCGCCATTTGTCATAATTGCTCCTTTTTTCAGGATCACATAAAACCTCTTTTGCATACTATAATATAAATAGCGCATCAGAGCACATTTATTCAATATTCAAAAAACGTAAACAATCTATTTCAATTACAAATTAATAACATTGATCGACTTTCCTCTATGTGTAGAAGACGCACCTTTAATTGTTGAAATTTTTTTTCGGCCTCTTTGTCACCGTCGTTCTTGTCCGGATGATACTGAAGAGCTAATACCTTATACTCCGCCGTAATCTGCTCGATCTAATTTTTAAAATTAAACAGGGATCGTCTACGACATGATTCAATAATACACGAAAAGAAATTAATCTAATCGTAATAATTGTTTGTTTTCTTTCAAATATATGTCATAAATAAAATATTAAATTAGAAAAATGTGAAATTTATTTCACTAAAACAGAATCAATTTAATTCTTGAAATAAGATTATTTTCCTTTTTCTGTAATACTTCGATATTTATGACGTATTCGATATTTATTGCATTTAGATATCTCGGCTGTCTGCCGCAAAATCACATTCGTAGTATCATTCGCCGACGGAAACAAGATGTCATGAACATACTGATGTAATTTATCAACCGGAGTCGGAATTTTTATCAAGACGCTAAGAGATAATTCTAGCAAAACATAAACTAAAAAATTGAGAGGCAAACGACCTTTTCATTGTATATCTCTATTAAAATTTCTAATATCTATTACATTATGTACTGATAAAGAATAACAAGAGTAATCAAATATTTATTACGAATTTTTCAAAATTTGTAACTTATTTTTAATATATACGAATTATGGTGATATCATAATAAAAATAAAAATTATCGCATATGTTTCTCTCTCTCTCTATTTCTCTCGTTAATATCTTATTGCATTGCATATGAAATAATAACAAATTTGTTTCAAAGAATCAATACAACCTCACGCACAATGAAAAATGTGATTTGATTACAGCAGAAATATGGTTGCTTAATTCGAGAATTTAGCATATCATAAACTAGAAGCAGATGAGACTACATCTAATTGTGTTGATCGAATATTCAATTAATTGAGAATTTAAATTGCACTTTCCCTCTAGGATCTAATTATTACGGAAGCAATTCGACGTTTAATTAAATTATGTCAGTGCGGAAAATTAGTTTTGTACATGTATATCGATAAAAGTCTCAATTAAAACATATCGGAACAATTAAATTTTTTACAAAGATTATCGCTTATGAATTTTATATTTTAACGATATTAACTTGATTAATTAATTAAAATGATATCGTGATGAAATACACAATGAAAAATGATGGTGAAAAATTAAATTTAAATTAATAGTGATACATAAGCAAAATAGCTTTGCCTAATTGTACAATAATGATAAAAAAATATTTCATCTATTATCTCATCTATTATTGCTCCATATCATCTATTATATTGATCTAATATTGACTTTGATAAATAAGATATTTGACTTTTATCTTGTAATTATATTTTTCGCGATGCATTTATTTCTCGAATATTTTATAAATATTTCAAACACGCTTGACCGGGCGTTGACTATATATATATACATGACTCGTCAAAAGTAATAATGTATTCATGATAAACACTATTCAACTTAAAATAAATTTCCTGCTTTTATCTTTATTCTACATTAATTATAAATCTTTGTAATATATTGTATAAAAAAACATACAAATAAAAATACTTAATTATCTAAGAACATTCGCGATCTAACGCGAATAGCTTAGGAGCGAATATTTTTCGCAAGATAACAAAAACCGCGGCCAGAGAAAAGGACAAAGATTTTATAATTCTAAATTGATTTCAATAGACACAACACAGAGAGAACCTTTAGGAAAATAGAAGATATATTTCCAACTTTCACAAAATTTAGTTTGATATTTTTGCCGCATATTTAATCCTAAATAAAATGTGGCTCTCTGATTTTAAGGTTCCCTTTTTTAATATGATGGATGTGTCAAATGTGGACACAAAAGAAACTCAAATATTACATTACATTCAATAATTAATCAGCAATGGAAATACGAATTTCAGGTCGTGAAATGCAATAAATACGTTGCAACGTGTTGTGTCTTACCGTGGAAGACTCGTCGCAGGATAACAGCGCGTAATAGTCCTCCTCCTCGCTGGGCGAGTAATTGATGGCGTCCTCGACACTCATTTCGCGACTCTCCTTTCGCAACCCTTAGCACACTCCCTTCCTGACTTTCCCTTACCGAATTTATCGGACGCGAAAAATAGCTGCTCGTTTTCCAAACTTCCGTCGCTCCTAACCGAGTTGATCGAGATCGTCTGTCACCTGTTGCGAGTGAATGAATCTGTCAGTAGTAACGTCGCCGACTATGACGAGCACCAAAGTGAGCCGAGTAAAGGGAAAACCGTGTCGCAGACCCGGAAAGACCCGATTCCCGGGGAATCCCGCGCGACTGCGTACTCGCAATCCCGAGCCCGCACCCCCTTTCGCAAAAGGCACAGTTTGCACCGTTGCGCAGTTGCGACTTGCGGCTTATACCCTCTTGCGCCCCTTGTGTCGTGCGTCGTAAAGGGGCTACATATATACACACATATTTCTAGAATCTTGATATAATTTACACAGTTTCTAACAAATTAATCTCGTGTTCTTTAGATCGAAAATTTTGTTTTTAATTAAATTTCAAACGAGTAAATCTCTCACATTCGTCTCTGTAGAAATGAGAAGAGATTATATGAAAGAGAAAAAGAAAAAAATTGTACAAAATCTCTTTTTTAATATATGTATATCCCAATCTTGCCTTTTTTAAACTTGAGAAATATAATGCAAAATTTTTATTCCACAATTATATTCGTTAAGAAGTTTGAAGTGCGATTCATCAATTAAATTACAATATAGTTGCTGTTAGTTTTATTATATTGCCAAAGTGATTATGATATTGATATGAGTGAAAGGGAACTTGGAAAGAGCTTTAGTTTGCCTAGAATATAATAAGAATATAATAATATACTTGGCGTCGCGACGCTACCGCGTCGCTTGATAGAATATAATAAGAATCTATAGTATAAAAGAAGATTAATAAGGATGATTTTACTATCTTATTTTGTATTAGTTGAAGCTGTTTAAACTAAAAAAGCTAGATTTGTCAATGCACAATTATTTAAAACTAATTTTAAGTGTCAAACAAACTCGACACAGACCCGCAATTACTCTGCCAATAGAATGGTATCAATAGCACACAACGAGATGCATACATTCGTTCCATTATATAACATGGAATGCGTCGTTATCACTGCGAGATTTTTAACGATTGAAATCGCTTTCAAGATCACAACGGCTGTTATTGTGAAATCGCTCTTTTCTTTTGGGTAGACGCATATGGAAGAAGCACTTACGAGAACAAAGATTTAATCCCGCGTATGTTTCTAACAGTTCTTTCGCGAGATTACACAGCGTTTCTTTTTAGAACGCGCTGTCGTACGTGTCGTAAAGAGCACTATGCGATATTGAGTTCAACGCATCTACGTCTTTGCTGACGCGAGATTCCAGAGACTCGTGGCTTTCACTCGCGGTTAAACAACCTTGAATCATTTTATCTCACAGCTTTACCGATCGAGCGAGATGTCTTCATTTATTAGTATTTTTCGAAAAATGGATTTTATTAAGCACATATGAATTAATGATGATAGAAATATTAATCATCTCTGCTTTTCTCGCATTTTTGCCATTTGAGATAAAAAGATTTAAGGTTGTCCATTATACTTAAAAAATTTAATTTGCGAGATAATAAAGATTATTTGTCACGATGGTGAAGAGGCAGATTTGATTAGAAATTCAAATCTTTTAAAGAATTACAAGAAAGAACGAACAAGAGAGACATCAAAACGTGAATGAATGTATAAATCAATTACGTATTCTTCTTGCTTCTACGGGGGGACGACAGATAATGATCACCGGCACTTTCGTTTACAACTGTTGATGCCACTGTTTTAACTCTCTTGCGCACCATATTGTCTACAGGCGATGACGTAAATAACAGAATTGAGCAATTTTACGGATCACATATAACAAATGAAAAGTACCGAAAAATATTACATTATAAACATATATAGATCAAATTTAAGTCATAATATATCAAATAAAATAATGATTTTATTTAATATGGATTATAGAAATCAATATCAAATATTTTTTTAATGTTGATGAATAAATCATTAACGTTAGCTCTTCAATATATTATTTAAATATATATTTTTATTATATAAAAAAATAGATATTGTTTATAAAATTTATATAAATTTGTGTAATCAAAAGCTTTAATTAATGTAGTATATTCATTTTAATCAAAAAATTTATATAAAAAGATATCCGCGAATACTTTTGTATAATTTACTGTAAATTCTCGGAAATAACCGTTCTAAAAATTCAATGCACTGCTAGCATGTCCCATAAAGAAAAAAAATACTAACATCGCACCAATCAACAATCTGTCAAAAAGACGTATAGTCGTTTTAGACACATGTCAGCATCTACAGTACCTATACTACAAAACCTGTTTTATGCAACTAGCTTGTAAATTTTCCTGCGAGTAAAACCGTTGAATCTGAAAAAATATTTTTAACATTTCCCATCGTGTACGATTTTTTAATCTTCAATTTCTGCACTAGATGGTATAAACAAAAATTCACAATAAAATTGCGAAAAATATTGTTCATTAAAGAAAGTGTGTCATTGATTAAAAAATAATGTTTTATTTATCTCGCTTCAAGAGATAAATAAGATCGACATTCTATCAAAGTTAAAATCTTGTTAAACTATAGACGTTTTATTCCTTTCGTTGCGGTCAAAATGAAGAAGCAATCACTGACTGTCACGATACGGTAATTACTCGAAAAGTTCATTAAAGAAAGTGTGTCATTGATTAAAAAATAATGTTTTATTTATCTCGCTTCAAGATTTCTCGACAATACGCATGATCTCATAGATCGACATTCTATCAAAGTTAAAATCTTGTTAAACTATAGACGTTTTATTCCTTTCGTTGCGGTCAAAATGAAGAAGCAATCACTGACTGTCACGATACGGTAATTACTCGAAGAGTTTTACGAGACACGTGTCGAAAGGATCGAACCCTTTCACCGCTGGAGAACATACGTACGCTCACGGGCAGGAAACACATGCTCCGCTCCGTTTCCGCACGCATATGCGTGACAGACACGCAGCGTGCACGCGCGGAACTACCTCAACAGAGATTGCTAAATACTCGCACTGTACATTTTTGATATCTGCAAGAAATCAAAAAAATATTTATACTCGATTTTATTGATATTTTTTTAGAAGAAATGTTATGGAATCTTTATTAGAAACGCATGCAATGCAAAGAAAAAGTTCACACGTGAGAGTTAAGAAGAATATAAATCCATTTTTCTCTATCACTTAATCGTTTTTATCATCGTTCATTTTACCAATTTTCCAAAAGGATAAAAGATTAATTTTTTAATCAATATTTCTTAATTTTCCATGTGTCCTACGATATGTATAAATTGAATGTCGAGCGAACAAATAAGACAAATCTTCCTATTAAGCGAGAGAAAAAAATCGAGGGTCAAGAAGAACGCACGTGAGTCCGCTTTTCTTTATCGTTAACGAGTCGTCCTTCGGCATCCCAACACTTAGCCGTCCTTGTCTATCCCGAAATAACATTTCGTTACGAAGCATACATGGGCGTTTCTTCGTGCGACTGCCAGATGCGTGGGTGGTGGTAGTAGAGAAGAGAAGGAGAGCATAGAAACGATCATATGGTAGCGCCGCCGATGAGGCTCCCTCCAGGTCTGGCTTGTCAGTGCTTCATGAAGTGTTGCGTCGTACCCGTGCATAATCCCTGACCGAGCATGACCCTGACGAAGTTCGCGAAATCTAACATTAAACGTTGACTGGGAAGCTACGAGAAAGACTACGCGATTTCGTTCCTTAGTGAGCTTTCCTTTGCGAAATGGGTACAACAGAGATAACTATAGAGTGTATGAAACGTGAAGAAGAAGAAAAAGCTGCAATCTTAACGTTTACTTCCTGATCAAGTGTGACGGCATTGAGATCGGAATGATCGATGTGATTGATTGCCATCGCTGGTTTCGTGGAACGCAATTGATTATAATTAAATGTCAAGCAAATGTGAATATATCTAATGATATGATTAAAATAAATGGAAAATTATCTAAGTTATTTTCTTATACCAATCGTACGTTATTAGGCAGAAAAAGCATTTAATGAAATTTTGAAGCAATCATCGATTATCTCGATTACTGAATCACATTCTTGAATTCGAATATTGCTCATCATAATCAACGAATGAGACTGGCAATGAGTCAAACCTGTAATTCGTTCACACTGAAACATTTGATATAAATAAATAATTATTGGAAATCTTGAATATTTAGATATGAAAATGCTTAAAGTGATTAAAGATTATAAAAAAAAGATGAGCTGTGCAAATATTAATATTATATTTCACGTATAATTCAGAAGAAGAAAGAAAAGAAGAAGTAAAAATAAGAATTGGCGATTTTTCACAAGTAATAGAAAAGTACTCGTCATTTATTTCATAATGTTGAAATGATGTGGCTTGTTGTTACAAACCTCTTCTCTTTCGAGATCTTAATTTAGAAGATTTCAAGCATAAAAAAGAACAAAAATCATCTAATGCAAGCAATATTAACAACAAAGTACTGAAGGTGAGTTTGCAAGTCACATGAGATAAACAAATTAATTTAAAAATTTGTATTTGCATATTAATACTTTCTGATATGTTTTTAATTTAGTTTTTATCATAGAAAGAAGTTTATTTTACAAAAATCTAATTTCGATATATATATATATATATATATCAACTTCTACTTTATATTTCAGCAATAAATATATTTAGAACACTTGTAAAGTGTAAAAGAATAACTTGATCGAATATTTTATTAGTAATAAAATAGTCTGCATATAATGTATTTTTAATAAGTCAATTTATATACAGTTTGTACCAAAAAAACTTTTCATTTTTTTTGTTCTTGAACATCAATTGCAATATGTAAATCAGGAACAATTATATTTTAAATTTATTTATTTAATGTAACTCACAATCAGTTTCCTTTATAAAATTTAAAAAATTCATTTTTTATATTTAATATAAAATAAAATTAAGAAATAAAAACAATATAAACTTTTAATTGCTGAATATAAAAATTAAAAATAGACAATCTGCAAATCAAAAATACATGAATTAAGTGCAAAATTTTTTAAAAATCTTTTCCTTGGCTCTTTATACACTCTTTATTTCCTTGTCTAAACACAGATCGCCATAAAAACCATAAATATTTTCTGGCGCTATCAAGTTAACTTATCTTATGATTGAAAAATTACCGAAAAATATTTGAGAATTTGAAAAATAATAATAAAAACGCAAAACGTGTTAGTCAAAAGCGCGATAAAAAAGAAAGAAAAGAACAAGCAAGCGGGGGAGCAGAGTCGTCGAAAAAACTTCTCAATTATACTGGAACTAAAGCGCGTCTTTATGTGGTTCTCGAACAACGCGCTACATTCTGAATATAGCGTGTGCCGCACATGTGCGCGCTTACGGGGGCACGTGCACCACCGGATACAGGCTTCTTTTTATCGGACCATACCTCGGTGCAGGTGCAGTTACAGGGCGCGATGCGGCACGGCGCAGTCCTCCGCGACGGTCACAGGAACGGGCTTCTATTAATAGCCACGAATATGCGTGATTTGTTCGAGAAACCGCGTTCAGCTATAGACGCGATACGATACGAGCTTCTGCAAAATATATGATGTATTTTTAGCATTTTTAAGAATTATTTTGTAAGTCGAACGAACACCGTAGTTTCAAATCTGCAGAATTATTCGCGGCATTTGTGCAAAACGACTCGTAGAAAATAATCAAAATAAAATACATCGTTGCACGTGATAAGTCTCTTGTTTATAAGATATATATACATCGCATTCATCTAATAAACACATTTACTTATAACGAATTTGGTTGGATAAACTGCGCAATAAAGCCATTCAACAACAAACATAGAAATTTGCAACAGCATAAGTAATTAAAACAGTAAGATAATTAATACGATAAATTATTGTTATTGTTATTTAATAAAATAACAATAATAATAACTCGTAACATTAATTATCTTATTATTTTAATTATATATATATACTTATGCTATTGTAAATTATTATATACGACATATATTTATATACGACAACCTTGTACCAGATGTATATAATATGTTTCAGAGAGCGATTTGTACATTCAATCAAATTCGTTATTAGTAAATTATCTCTCTTTCAATTATCTTTGTTAGAACAAACAAATTGAAAGACAAAATCAATATTACATCAATATTTCTTGAATTGATAACTCTTATAACTTTATATTTTTTATAAATTCTTAGTGTGTTATATTATATTTTTCCTAAGAATTTAAAAAAAGATCGCATTTTAAAAAATGTATAGCATTTTTTTTCTTTCTTTAGTCGCTCCATATTTGGGTGAAAGAGTATATGGACTTTTCATGAGTACGATCACCCTTTTTCCCTCTCTTTCCTATCACATTTTCTCTCTCTTTCTCTCTTTCTATATATCTCTGCCTCTACCAGGCATGTTCTGCTCTCCCAGTTGTACGAAAATAGTAACCGCCATCGTTGCAGCAACTATGAGGGCAGAAAATTGTCGCGTATTCGCTGAACTAAATTCGAAGAAACGCACAGATTCCCGGTTAATCTCATCAATCACAGTTACGTGGATTAAGGAAAATAATTATCATATAAGCCTAATGTACATATAATTCAAGAAAAATTATATTACAATTTTTCGTACAAAAAAACTCGTTCTAACGATTGGTTGATAATAAAAAAAAATATCAAATTAAATTTCAAGTTAATTAAATTTTTCATCGTTAAACGCTAGATATAATTTTATAATTTTGCTCCAAATTGCATGCACGTTGAAAACACGAAAGTTTAATTACAAATTTTATAATAAAGAGATTGGAAGAAATAAACGTATTCGATAAAACATGTAGCTCCCTCCATTTAAAATTATTTTGCGTGGAAAAGTAGATTCAAACATTTACGAAATATAACGACGTTTATTTATTATTACGGTCTACTTACGGATGGGAAAAAATCTTTGTTAAGGAGAGATTTCCCTCATGTAAAACAACGTGATAGATATCATTGTCCATAACAGCAGCGGATGAGACGTGCAGAGAACAACGTGATAATGTCGCGTGCATAACACGTGAATGAGTCGCGTTCGCTCTCGACCCCCATTTCTCCGTTCTCCACCCCCTTCTGCGTGTAAGTGTAAACGGGTCGTGAGAGACGATGTGCGCCTCTCTCACCGTGCTAAATATAATATTCACGCGTATTTTCAGCAATGAATGAAAGCACCGACGGACATTCGCAGATTTTCCCGCGTATGATTTTCTGAATCAAAAGAGAAAGAAAAGATCATACATACGTAGAATAACATAAATTTATTTTACATTGCAGGTATTCGCGGCATCCAACCGAACGTTTCTACGTAGAAGATCGTCATGGCAGTCGGTGAGTTTTTCACTTTTTTCCAATTGCAGCAAAGATCGTAAAGATCGCATACAAATTTTAACGGTGCGACATTCAGTACGCGAGTCACGCCTTTTACGCATAATCACGCGTCTCTAACATCTCTCATTTTCATTCGCAGACAAACAGTAGCCTGTCCGCAACATTTGTTGGACAAAATCGCAAGCACATAATTTACAATGTAATTTGATTTAGTATCAGATTTAAACTCACATATCATATAACATAATAACATAAGAATTAAATAAAAGCACAGGTACACTGATAAGAATCAAAATTAAATTAGAACATAAGAAATTCGGGTATTTTTCTCATCCAATATAATATACAATTTTAATACTTTAAATTAAAGATGAATTATTTGTAAAGTTTTTTTTTATGTGATAGTTGAATGTAATTCAATTTATACATACGAAGAAAAAAATTTGCTGACACAGCATCAATGGACGATCCTATTATCGAGAAGTTCCAAATGAGAAATAACAAACAATAATGCAAATATTAAAAATAACAGATAAAATTTCATATGAACATTCGATTAATGCCCTTTTCCGGGGAGTAAGAGCGCGCGAATATTGCAAATCGAGGTGGTATATTTCCGGTGCAGCTACTACGTATTCCTGCCAGCTCACCGGGTGTGGGGGAACAATGCAACGTCCGGTTCGGTGTATCCCCCCACCATGGTCGAATCCAATGGTAATCGTAGTAAGGCTCGTTCATGGTGTCCCATGAATGTAATTCAGCTCCCACAGTCACAGGTAGACCCTCTATTACTCTCGTCGTGGCTATAACGCGGACGCGGATGTGATAACTGTGACAGACGTGATAAGAGCAACGTCACGTTGAACGACGTTTAATTCCGGATTAGAAGAACGTTCCTTCTTTGTAATTACCTATGTCACAACATAGTGCAAAATCGTGTTAAAAATAATGCACGGATAGCATCCAATATCTAGATAAATCTTTATTTCTTGATGTAATCGGGAAAAATCGATGATTGAATTTGACAGAACTTTCGATGGAACATCAAAAAGTGATTAATTAGACTAATTGAACAGTTCATTTCCTCCCTTCGGTTATTGTTTAAACGCGATGAGAATGAGATCGAGTAATGTCCTTTTCAATTAATATCAACTGTATACAACTTTTACATTAATTATACAAGTTAATAATGGATTATTATGATGAACATATTTTATGGGGATTCGCGCAGTTCTTATGGCAGCGACTTTTTTTGCTTCGAATTAGCATTTACCGTAGCAAAACCGTATGAAAATTACGGACGTGCGGCTTAATAATTTTTCGCTAAGAGCCGCACACACACGCACATAGAAGAGAATAACGAATCAGTGAATCGAGCAGTGAATCGTGTGACCTGGATCTGTCCGATCCGCATGTTCACAGATAATCCGTCATATTTCTCGCTGTCCGGCGGGACATCGTCGTCGCCGAAGACGACGACGACGTTGACATCCCCGACGTCGCCCAGAAATCACAGTAGCGGCTTGTCCGCTTTATTTCGACGGAGAGCCTGCAGTAAGATGGGCGCGGCTTCCTCTCAAGGTGGCATCGTCATCTCGGAATCCACGTCCAGCATGCATCACGAAAATCGCGGCAATGTGTCGGGTACGTCGACATCGACGGAGGAGCGCGTCCCGATGCTGTCGCGGAATGGCGCGGTCCAATCTGGCAAAAGGAGATATGGCAGCGACTTTTTTTGCTTCGAATTAGCATTTACCGTAGCAAAACCGTATAAAAATTACGGACGTGCGGCTTAATAATTTTTCGCTAAGAGCCGTACACACACGCACATAGAAGAGAATAACGAATCAGTGAATCGAGCTGTGTGACCTGGATCTGTCCGATCCGCATGTTCACAGATAATCCGTCATATTTCTCGCTGTCCGGCGGGACATCGTCGTCGCCGAAGACGACGACGACGTTGACATCCCCGACGTCGCCCAGAAATCACAGTAGCGGCTTGTCCGCTTTATTTCGACGGAGAGCCTGCAGTAAGATGGGCGCGGCTTCCTCTCAAGGTGGCATCGTCATCTCGGAATCCACGTCCAGCATGCATCACGAAAATCGCGGCAATGTGTCGGGTACGTCGACATCGACGGAGGAGCGCGTCCCGATGCTGTCGCGGAATGGCGCGGTCCAATCTGGCAAAAGGAGAAGCTTCCGGAATCTTTTTAGATCTGTAAGCGCGAACGCGGATCACGAGAAAACTCAAAAGTTCCTCAAAGGAGATCCGAGGCCGTCCGACGTTGCGCCACCATCGCCATATTTGCCCCATAGGTAAATAAAATGTCGCACTTTGACGAGGATATAATCCTTTGAGGATATTGATATATAATTCAAATATAACTGCAATTTTATTTATTTATTTAATTGCGGGATTGCAATTCTTTGGCAAAAAGAATTGCAAGAGCCGAATCAGACGCGGTATAAATAATAAAAATATATTGTCTTATCGATGCAGGTCGCATTCGCATTCCGAGAAAGATCGACATCGTCCTGCTCGAGGCAGGAGAGTCCTGAAATCTGCCAGCGAGCTTCTGTCCAATGATATGGTTTACTGTGGTCTAACAGGCAATTCTAAGAATCATAATGACAACGATGACAACAGCAACGACGATGACGATACCGCAGAAGTCTTCCTCGGTGTGGACGATGCCAGGTTAATAAAAAAATTATCTTTATCTATTCAAAAAACATTTTTTATTACTTATATACTATAGATGTTTATAATTAAGCTTCAAATTTTATTTATTATATATATTTTTAATTATAATACAGAAGAGAGAGGAGAGATAATCTGCTTGTGAAATAAACTGTGGAAAATTCTTTTCCAGATATTACAATCTTTCCTCCACTTTTCCTACGACTGGTTCAACCGCCTGCCGGAGAAGACACTCAATTGGCACTTTTCTCGAAAAAGAAGCAAGTACATCTACTAACGCTATCCCTGGACGACAACAAATGGGAGGATGTAAGAATTTGTTAGAAGCAGATACAGTGACAGCTCCGGTATCGGTCGACGATATTGATGGTGCCCCATGCAACGAAGGCAAACAATCGTATTGTAATAGGACTAGACGGAGAAGACACAAGAGCTCATTTAATAAAGGTAAAAAATATTGATTAATATAACAATTTCGATTTTCTTATCGATTTTGATTAAGCTTTCGCTAAACTATCGCATGGTATTGACGGGATATATATTCTTCATATGCCCTCAATTATCAATTCAAATAATATTTCAATAAAAATTATCATTCTCCAATTTCAATAGATTTAATTTAAAAATACTGCTTTTCCGAAATAATCATAAATAAAAAATTTAAAACCACTTGGACAAATTCAAATCTGTTTACAAGATATTTATTTTCGTCTCGAATCATAATAATGTGCCATCGCAAAAAAATTTGGTTTTTTAATCCACAATCTCATATATTCTCATATATCAGACAAATTTAATTTTGATGAAAAATATTTTTTTACTTGCATTCAATTTTTTAAACGGCACAAAATTGTTGAGAAAATCATTGAGCGAGTTGTATGAATTGTTTTATTCATCGCGGACGGTGATTATAATTTCTATGGCGAGAAGAGAGTGCACTTCCGAATGAAGAGTTCTCGCATTCCCACGTCCCATCTATCGCACGCCCGCATGAAGCACGAATCACGCCTGCATGTTATAAAAGTCGAAGCATTGCGACACAATTTCGATCATCTTAATGCATCGATTGTTCGCCAATTTCCATTTGGATGATACTTTCAGGTCATTCTGTCTTTAATTATGTGGCATTGCAGTGATGATTGTCGTCTTTTTATTAGGCAGTTTTTATATGAAAAGAACTAATTGTAAGCATTGTACTCTATCTATGAGAGGAAAGTATAAAATTGTCTTTTATTACATATAAGTTTGTTAATCAATTGTAGTTTTTTTTTTTTCAATTTAAGATCAAGCGTATTAGATTTCGCTTCTATTAATAAGAAAAATAGTCTTATAAAAATTATCTTATCATTCAAGTGTCGATAATCTCAATGCTTAATCTTAAACAAAACTTAAAATTGATTGAAAAACTCAATTATATGTAATAAAAAATTTAAAGACGATCTCTATTATTGTTTCTTAGTTGTAAAATTGGTTCTTAAAATTTATTCTATAGAAGAGAATATTCTTTATTGTAAAAAAAATATGCACCCCTTCTCTCGTTATAAATGTATTTTTATTTTTATAAATCTTGACCAGTATGGTCAAAAAATCTGTTTAATCTTAAAGAGATTGTTTAACTTAAGAGTTTTTAAAAATAAATATTTAACATACGCGCGCGCGATATTATTATAATTATTTTATTTTAGTTTTCAATTCGCTCATAATCGCCTGTAAAATCCGAATCAAAGTTAAAACAAACAATCTGAAGAAACAATATGAAGAATATCCGGCATTCTCGTGATCGCGTAACAGATAAAATCAGGGACCGGTCCGCAGATGAACGCGCACGTGGGTCGGATGAGGTCTGCTCCGGAAGTTCACAACCTTTAGTATTCGGCGAGCGACTTCGTCGTTTTCCGATCGTGTTCGCATATACACACACATACATATAGAACACACACACATATGGCCATAAAACCCTGAAATTTACGACGTTACGTGAGCAGTTACATGGACAACAAAAGATCCTCTGACGTGTATATAAAATCAATTCTTCCTTAACAAAAATGTCTAAAAGTTAATAGCACCAGAATTTATAAAAAATCGTAAACAAACAAATTATTTGTAAATCAAGTTATTAAACACAGCAATATCTTAAATCAAAATCCTTATTATTTATTTAAATTTCTATTAAATTTAATTGCATCCAAATTTAATAATAAAATATGCTTGTATACATGTGGGAGGTATAATACCTCACACATGTGTAATGTACCAAGCGATTTCTTAATTAAGAAAGCGAGTGTGTAACACACATGCTTTTAACAACGAAAATGTGACCTCGACCAGCATCCGGCTGCTCTTTAATTACAGCAGGAAATGAAACGTAGATTGCAAGAAGCAAAAATAGCGATTCCATTTATGTTACCGGCAATAAAATATGTATAAATAAATATAAGACAACGATCTATATATCTTATGATAAACAAGTATCTCCATTGTATCAATTAATTAATTTAATAATTGGGTCAAATCAATACATCCGGTCGAGAAGTAGTATTTATATATATTTACCCATCAAATTATAAATCAAATATTACTTTTAATTTGCTTTTTGATAACATAGAAAGTGAGAATCTTTATGCACGAAAAATAAAATTAACTTTTAGAATTTTTTCCTTGGAATGTACTAAAAAAAATGACAACCAGAATTAATCTATTTTCCTAAAGACCCGTTTATTTACAGAAGGTGTGAAAGAGAGATAACCGAATGTATTTCTAAAGTTTAGATTCGTTTCTGGATGTCTGTGTTTTCACGCGTCTTCCGTTGCAAGCATTGCATAGTGTGTCGTTGCCGACACGAAACGGAAATATCCGTCCATATGTTGACACGAGGTCACAGACGGTTATACTAGCGTACATCTTATGGCCTCATCGAAAGAATACGTTCCCCTATACTGTAAATTCTCTTTTTCCGTCTGGAGAAAAGACCCTATGCTGTGAATTCTCTTTTTTCGTCTGAAGGAAAGCAGGACAATCTTACTTTGCAATTAAAAAATTTCAACTATCGTAAAATATTTTACTTAATATTATTTACAAAAATATTATTTTCTCAATTTTTAAAATTGATCTTTTTTAACAAAATCTTGTACCAAAAAATTTTATTATATGTTTTCGATTTATTTTTTTATATATGTACATAGAGTTATCTTACTCCTCTCAATCATACCATCAATAACGAATCTAGTATATATAAGCGAGAGAACCAGTTACGCAACGCCTTGATTTGCATAAATTTATGAAAGTACATTATATATGTGTTACAAAGATCAACTTGTAGTGTGATATCCAACAAAATGGATGTGCTGAGCGATAAAACGAGCCGTATAAATCTATTGAAAGACAGAGGGGTCAGTAACCGCAAGATTAAGCATTCTGCCGGCATATTCGATTCTATCCTCATATTATTTACCGGTTGTACTTCCTGGTGTTACCCCGGCGCAGATCTAACGCTTCCGGCGCTGACAGTTAACTTCCAGGAGGCATCGCGTCTTACCGATCTCTTCGACATGATAACAAATCAAGCTTCAAAAATAATTCAAAGACAATTTGACTCAATCAATTAATCAGACATTTATAATATATAATAATTAAATATAACCCTTTGTCTTTTATATAGCGCACATTTTGATGATAAATAATATCACGGTCTTAAGAAAAATTTTCCGTGTTTATTTTTGTCTTTATTTTTATCTTGTTTTTTTACCGTACGTGTATGAATAATAAAATTGGCAGATAACACATCTTCACGGAATTAATCATCATTAATTCTTCTCTCAAGCTTCGAGTTCTAAAATTGTGTTAATTAAACCGCTCGGATAGCAACGGTGTAATTAATGCAATTAGTGTCTGAGTCTGCATATTGAGTTGTGTTCCATTTGTTGTATCTGCGGATCTATTTTGTTCGAATTACTAAAGATTATCATGACGACGATACGTACGTTCGAAGACCGACGAAAACATCCG